GTAGCTGGAGAAAATTGCGCGCAGGGATGGGAGAGGTAAGTTTTCGCTCTCTTCGTCTCTCTCTCTCTCTCCTGTGCGCTACTACTCCGCGAGCGACGCAAATTAATATTCTAGCGCGAGCACGCGCGCGTCTCGAGCTCGAACGCCGAAGATAACGTTCTAATTAGGAACAATGAGCGATAAGAGTCGAGGCTTCTCTCTCTCTTGCTCTATCTTGCTTCGGCGCAGCAGCGGGAAAGAGCTGAATTCGGCAAAATTTAAGTTATAATTAAACGCGAATTTAACCCTCTCTTTTCCCCGCGCCACCTTCGAGCTGCCTGTCTATATAGCGTATAATGCAATATTACAGCGGTATATGTATTATATAATGTATATAGTACAGATGCGCCGAGCGACTGTAAACAAAACAAAACTCAGGGACGCGTTTTACGTGTATACGACCGATTCTCTGTGAAATCGAATGACTCAATGGCTCGCTGCTGGTATTAAAATTTTTTTTTGTCAGATCGTACATGACAATATTAATTGAAATTGTAAGGAAGATCGGTGAATTTTTTAGCGATGAAAGACTGGATAGAACTAGATCAGGTTTAGACTTTTGTCTTTCTCTGTATTGTAACAAGCTGCTCAAGTGCCGAGATCCTTTTGAAGAGTTTTTTTAATTTTCAAAGCCCTCGTAGAAATACTCAACATAAACTGTAACCAAATGACAAAAAATGACCATTTAAAAATTTTTCAAATGAATTACCATTAATTGGCTTGTTTTAAAATGCAATTAATTTTTTGCAAATAGTAAAGGTAGATCAATTAAACTGAAATAGTAATTTAATTGTTTAAAAAAAAATTAAAACAGTTTCAAGCACTTTGATACAAAAATACGACACTTTAGTTCTTCGCCACTAGATGGCGATTACCAATATCTGCAAGTGGGAAATTGAAAATATTTGTATAAGTAAAACTCGTTTGAAATAAATTTTTAACATTTTGTAGAAATTATAATAAGAACTTTTGCAAGTAAGTTCAAATGCTAATTATCACAAACTGCATATTGTAAAAAATAGTATTTGAAAAGCAAAAAAGATGGATAAACTATCGAAAAAAATGTTATACTCTGATTATTATAATTTGTACATGTCTAATAGCCCTTTTATATCAAAGAAATTTTTTCGTTCCCAAAAATTCGGAAAAATTGGAGATTTATGTGATATCAAAAACAATAATTTTTCATCCCAACTGAAAAAAAAAAACATTTTTGGGACATTTGATTTCGCGGAGAAGCGGCCATATATATAAATCGCATCAGAAAGAAATAAATGTCTCGGGCGATAAAAACGAAATTGAATCTTGATTCGGGGAGGAAAAAAAGGAATATAAGAGAGCCGCGGTATTGGCCGATGCTGCTGCCGCCGCTGCTGTTACTGCTGCTGCGCAAAGAAAAAGGAGCCATGCGGTCGAAATCTCATTAACGTAATAGAAGACGCGAGAAAGAGAGTAGGCATTTATATATATATTGTATAAGAATGAGTGAGAGAAAGAGACGCGACAACGTTACTACTACTGGGTTTAATTAATGTGCAGCCGAGCGGTGGCGATAAAGCAAAAAATTGCCACTCGAGCGTGTACACGTTTATTCTATATACCTACACACACTCGCGCACAAAGGACAGTTTTTTTTTCCTTCCTCTTCTTCAAATGTCTCTACTGTAATACCACGCTTAGACGTTGACGATAATAGATGCAGTTCTTCTGATTTTATCGCGATGTGTATATCCTCTCTTCCTCTCCCCTCTCATTCCCAAAGATGTGCGCTCGCGCGCGCGTTTGCATAATGATTTGGGTCAAATACCGAGTTGTATATCATTATGCAGTGCTCTGCGGTTCGTCTCTTTCTCTCCATCTCTTTCTCTGTCTTCGCTGTTTGTGTATTCAACTGTATACACGCACATGTGGTTATTTTTTTTTTCTCTTTGCGTTTGATTATACTCGTACATTGCGCGTAGGTGCGCAGCTAGCAGCAGCAGCAGCAGCGACGAGTTCGACGTTTTTCTTTTGCTTTTGATCCCGAGAATTTATTTCCCCCGCAACCAAATTATACACGCGTACGTATATATAGTTTCAAATTTAAATTCCGCCTTGCTAATGTCATCATTTTCATTTATTCACCACGTTACGATATTTAACTTTGAAATAAGATTTTAGTTTTCGTCCTTTTCGCCGTGGTGCGCGCGCGCGGTCACGAAAAAAGAAAAGAAGACCGAGGTATATAGTAGTACTCGTCTATATAGGCATTATGTACCGCGAACACAATTAGTTTTTTTTTCTCTACTCTTTTTCCGAGTCTTTTAATGGCTGTTTTAATTACTTTTTCAATCGAGATAAATTGCGTGTGAGTAAAAGAGTCGGTGCGATCCGCCTTGCCATAGACACTGTTTCACGGAATCATTTGAAATTATATATATAAAGGGTACGAAAAAAAGGAAGAAAAGAAAACAGGACAAGAGGAGGAAGGTACAAAGCAGAAAAAAACCAATCCGAGCGAGAGACGCGCCTTTTAAAGTTGCAAAATCGTAAGAAATAATGATTGAAAAGTAATCTAAGGACTTTATCGTGATACTTAAAACAGCGTACACACGTACGTATTTATAAGTCGAGTTTTTAAAAACAACGAAATGCACGCGCGAGCGTGTATACCGAGGCAGACGCGCGCTTCATTTTCTTAATTGGGTGACTTCAAGGCAATATTATATACACACACACACACACACGTGCACCACATTGAAGAAGCGAGGTGCACTACTTAAGATTTAATTGGCACGAATAATGAACGCGTACATAATAATCATTCATAGTCATTTCGCATACTACACACACACACATACCTATACACATACACTCACGTACACACGTGCGTTGAAGATTTGTAACTTTGACGTCAATTTATTCAGCTGCACATACATAAACACACATGCACACATACTTACGTACGTACACTCACACATACACAATACAAATTCGTTAAAGCTTTGCTTTGAAAATTCTCCTCATTAAATTGCTTCATTTATTTCGCTGCAGTGCTCACGCTGCGGACGCGACACGTATATATGCCATTTATTATTAATTTTCAACCTCCGTAACTCGCGCGCCTGTGTGCAATTCTTACCGATAGCTCAGCAGTAGCGGCAAAAAAGACGCGACAGCTGAGCGAAAGAAAATCGTATAATAATAAATGTTTGTACATTGTGTAAGTAATGTAATTTGCGCGTCGTCCCTAATGTTTTTGTGTATTATACGCGTGTGTGTGTAATATCGATCTAAAACCTGCACATGCACTATGTACGTATGTATTTAACGAGAGAGCGAGGAAGAGCGTCGAGGTGCGCAGGGAGAAGGCACACGAGGTGGCTGGTAGCAACGGTGGTGGTGGTGGTGGTGGTGGGGGCTCGACTAATTTAACATCGCGAACATAATTAGAACTGATATGAAACTCATTTACTCGAAATCCAAACAAAGTTAATGAACTTCCTTTAATTGAATTTCTTGATACCCCGCGCGCGCGCTCGTACTCTGCGCTATATAGTACGTATTCGCATCTGCAGCAGCAACTCGAGTACGCTCTTGTGTGTAAGTGTCTATGTGTGTGTGTGTGCACTCTCGTTGTATATATGACGCGCTCTTTCGCGCGCACGCGCTATATATCCATAAAAAGTAATTAGCCATACATCAACATTGTTTCAATTAACTCCGTACTATCAAAACCTAAAAGCTGTCTCTGCCGCCGCGCCGCTGCCGTTGCTGCTGCTGGCGCGTAAAAATGTAATCAAGCGGAACAAAAACAAGCTCGTATATTTTTCATCGTCGCGAGCGCGCGCGCGGGTTTTCCGCTGCACAAAAGATTAAAAAGCCAATAGAAATAAATCATGCGATTACCCAGCGTGTATACGTGTGCTGCAGCGGCGCGCAAGGCAATATAACGCGCAACCGGACCCGCATTATTATTATAAATATATGCACCGATATATGTATAATAATATCGCGCTACACACACTTGATTTCACGCTATTATAATACAAATCGGCTTGATTTAATATTAACTTCGCGTGCTTGACGCTGGGTGCGTGTAAGTGTGTGTGTATGTGACTGAGTGTGTGTGCATATAATTAAAGTCGAAAATTACTTTGCACGCGCGCGTGCGTTGCAAAGGATCTACTCGACGTGTGTGTATACATAAAGCAGCAGAGATCTTCTTAACGTTAAATTCTCCGAGAGTCGAGAGGGAGCTCGATTCATAATATGCAACAGTGTGCGTGTGCCAGGATTTAAGTACGAATCAATCATTCGTCGTGTACATATATAACATTCGCGTATAGATTGCGAGTGGGAGATGCGGCTTTTGCTTCTCACTCTACTGCTGCTTCTGCTGCTATCTGAGCGAGCTGAGCTGTGCTGTGCTGCTCGTTCGTCCGTCTGTGAGCAATTCTCCTTCGGCGGCGGCGATAATGCGCCTCGCCTGGGCGAAATTGCCAATTAAGAGTTGATTAAACATCGAAACGGAGAAGAGCCTCGGAGCACAGAGAGCTGCTATATACATGTGCGTATATCGTGATATATAGATATAATATGCGTTCGTGTGTATGTGTGTGCTATATAATATGTACGAACGTGTGCACAAAAAGGAGTCAGATGAGAGTTGAGCCGCCACCGCCGCCGCGAGAAGAAGAAAACTTCAGAGCTTCTATGCGCGTATATGTGTGCCGTGCGCCGCGCTCACTCTCGTTGGGGCTCGATGTCAGAAGTTTAGTACATAGAAGGACGATATATGTATGTATGTATGTGGGGGATGGAGGGTTTGAAGAATTGGATAGAACGAAGACGAGGAGATGGGCACACAGACACACACACACGTATAGCAGCACACATACACGCGAGCGCGATATTGTACGGGATCAAGCCAGCAACAGCATGATTCGATTACGGCCAACGACTGGAATGAAATCACTCACCGATGCGGAAGATGAGCTCATTCGATCTATCTATCTCTCCTCCTTTTCTTTCTTTCTCTCCTTTTTTGATACTGCAGCAGCTAGCTCTACGGGGTAGTAGTCTCTCTCTTGGAGAAGCAGCGATGGTCTGCGATCTTATAGACGACGTCCAGCCAAGGAGATAATGCGAGCTTGTGTATGCAGCTTCTAGGCGCGCGTCCACTCGCAAAAAAAACTTTGACCCGATCGGTAGCACGTGCACTCGAACGAAGTTTATTTTTTATATAAACTGTTTATACGTATGTGTATACGACGCACTATTATGAACTTTTTTGAACGCAGCACACTTCCGTGAAGTTTGTCAATTTTCGAAAATTCCCGCTAGACGAGCTTTTTTCTGCTTTCATCAAATTCAAACGCAACACTCGCTGCTTATGATAGTTTTCACTGTATACTCGACGATGTCACGGAGCGAAGCACAGAAAAATCACACACGCGATTCGTATTAGCACACACTGTACAAATGTACTCTTAAACACTTATTTTGCAGCACTTTTACAGTATATCTATTCCCGATATACTTGTATAGTTTTATTATTTCGATTCAAACGAGAAGACCTATACAATGACAAGAGAAAGAGAAACAACGAATGCACATGTGCACGCAGAAAGGGAGGTATATTATTATTATACGTATACGAGAGTACGAGCGTCGGCGCAAGCGAGCTGCAAGTCAGGTGCGGCGGCGAGTTGCCGACTCGGTATGACGAGCTCTCGGTTCGCGAGTTCTGCAGGCAGCAGCAGCAGCAGCACTGCCTTTTGCCGTCGTCCGTCGTCGCGCCGGTTCGCGCTTGCGCTCTAACGGGCCAACGTGTGCAGGCGCAGCAGCAGCAGCAAGTTATAAGATTGAAAAGCTGCAGGAGTGGGTGTTACATGTACGTGATATAAGGATCGTCTGCGACTGTGTCTGCGTGCCCATGCCTGCCGTGTATGTGTACGTGTGTATATGATATAGGTATCGCATGTGCAAAGGGGATTGGCTTCACGCGCGGCAGAAAACGTCACCGCTGCTGCTGCAGCAAGTATTATGTATTTGAATATACGCGATTTATGCGTGTCGCGAGCTCGCGCCTTAGCTTACATACATTGCGATACGTATACACCACTCGATCCTCTCGGTGAATGGATTTTTTTGGAGCAGCAACTGCAGCATGTAAGGATTGGAATTATCGAGCCTCGAGCATTAATGCAAAATAATTGGGCGATGACGTTATACACATAGGCGACCGTGCGCGTCATTTTGCTCCAATTTTTCGAAGCGAATACGCATGTAACACGAAGGCGTGAATTATACATTTCTATATACATTACGTATTCTACCGTACCTATGCGCGCCGAGATAATTGCATTTCTCTCTATGAAACGAGAGAGAGCGCAGCAGAGAAAAAAAGCACTGAAAGCCGTTATCGGCGCGCGGTATATGGAGGAGGGAGAGGCTTTTGTCGCCCGAGAATGACATTGCAGAGCGCACGATCCGCGTTAGCGCGCGAGCTCACGGACTCGTTTAACCAGTCGTTAAAACGATACGATTGATCGTCTTTTATCGTCATTGACGTTTTCCTGCTGTAGCTCTCTGCTGCAGCATCTATCTATATATTATATACACACACATATACACTGATGGCAGACCTATTGCCACAGGATATAATACAGTTGCGCTTGTATAGCGAGGTAAAATATCCTAAGCAGCCGATTCTCGACGCGCTCTAGAGAGATGTGTGCAAAAACAAAAACACGTCGTCTTCCCTCTGTCTCTTCTTTTGTATTTCCCATTTAATCGCGCACACACGCGAAGAAAATAAATACCGTATAAAGACTTCTTTGCTTCTCGGGATCATTGGATTTTTCTCCTATACTTTCGATCAGCAGCAGCCTCTCTCTCTTATACAGCTAAGTTAGATCGCGAGCGCGCCGCGACGGCATTAGTTGCCGACTACGATTGGCGGATTGGAAGATCAGCTAAAAAGTCGTCGTAAGGTGTAAATTTACGCGCCCGTTTCGCGAGCTCACGGCCTACGTCTACTCTACACAGCTCAGTCAAGCCCCGTGTTCCGAGCCGCTCATCAGGCTTTTTATTACTTCGCGTTTATATGCTATACCTATATCCTACCGTCCGTTAGATGATCGGCAGCTTTTATCCTCTTTCATTCGATTCGAGCGCTGCTGCCGAGAGAGAACTGCTATATATTATTGCCGCGCGCTAGCGCTATACTGCTATTCCGCTGAGGCGTGCAGCTATGTAAGACTTATTACATTGTTCTGCTTAACAAATAGGCGTATAGATAAGAAAATTACTTTTTCCTCTTTATTTTCTTCCTTCTCCCCCCCTTTTTTTGTTGTTGTTGCTGCTGCGAGAAGTTAGTAGTAGAGCCTCGAAATAAATTGCTTAGCTCGAAAAAAAAGTGTACGCGTTCATAAATATATAGGATCATTCTCTCTCTTATACTCTCAAACTCTCCGAAGATGCCGCCTCGTTTTACTTAACGAACTTGTGCCATGGCGGAGCGCGCGTTAAAAAGCTCGGGCGCAATACACACAGCAGCAATTAACATACTAATAACGAAAGCTTCGCGAGCCAAGTTAGGGAGAGAGTAAGAGAGCTAAGGTGCACCTCGGACTAGTAGCAGCGCAAAATTTCGCACGAGTGCCCATATACGCACATATCTAACGCGTCTTGGTCAAAGTGCAAAAGTATATACGCGGGGTGTGCATTAAAATTAATTGAGAGTTCTTAAGTATACGTACAAACTGGACGCTAAAATTTTTTCACTTTTCCTTCTGCTTTAATTACATTCATCTTCTACTTGCGTACCTATACGCGCACACACACGCACTCACGTAATTATAAGCAAATACGCACGAATGGCCTAATAAAAATATTACGCGCGCAGGGCCCGTTGTAAAAACGTTAACGCCAAAAAAAAAGAAGAAGCGGGACAAATGGCGCGGCTGGGTAAATAATAAGGAGCAGGCAACGAAAAAAATAAAAATAAAATAAAGAAAGACGCGTGTAATATTCAAATGTATAGCCAGCGCGCTATCGCGCGTATGAATAATAAAAGTTAACTTTGGCGCTTTTAATTAAACTATACAAGGTAAAATCGCCGGGGCGGCTCTTGGCCTAGGCGCTCGTGGAGCTAGCTAGCTAGCACTGCTCGCGGCCCATAAAAATGATAAAGTTTTTCAAATGAATGTTTTAAAAGTAATAGCACACCCCGACTCCCCTCCCCTCTACCTGCCCAGCTCGTATCGTCCGAGGAGCAGGAGTGCAAAAGCTCCTCTCTCTCTATTATGAAAATTAAAATCAGCCGAGGCAGTGGTAGTGATGTTGGTGGTAGTGGTGTGCGGCGTCGTCGTCATCATCATTATAATCATCATCGTGAAAATTTAATTAAAGTTATTCGCAAAGTCGTATAATATAAAAGGCAGCAGTGGCAGCAGCAGCAGCAGCGGCAACAGAGGCGAGAAATTATGTAGATCTGTAGACTTTCCGAGCTAATTTTATTAGCATTCAAAATTGTCTTACATTGCGCGCGAGCTATGTGCGCTGCACAAGGTAATAGTTGCTGCAGCAGCAGCACATGCGTCGGCCCAGGCCGCGCGCCAATATATGTAAGTATATCGCGTATGTATGATAATTGGCGAAGAAAGATGAATAAATATAAAAATGAAATAAGAATATAGACGTGACGTAGGGCCCATTCCAGACTATAATATGCTCTCAGGAGTTTTAGCTGCTGCTGCGCTGGATGCTGCAACGATATATAATACGCCTTGGCGCGTACACACGCGCGGCGTAAGATATTTAATCGGCTTCTATAATTAAACTGTCCCTCAAAGGGTTAATCGTTCCATAAAACCTATGAATACGCTAACGAGCTCTCGAGGCTTGCCAGATGTGTATATATACCTACTATTCGCTCGAGATCTCTTCGCAGTGCGCCAACGCCAACTTTGTTGGTATATACGCGCACAGGCACTTCATTCTTTATTTTTACTTTTTTTGACATTGCCGCCACCTATAAGTACCTTTTGTTTTTTGGACGTTCGAGTTCTTTACCTTACAATTTTTTTTCTCCTTTAACTGTTCCGTCGCGTCTTTCCTCGTTCATGGTTTTTTGGGGTATTAAAAAAGTTGCACCCGCGCTTTACCTAAATAAAGAGTTTCTTACGAGTTCCTCGTGATAATTACGAAAGAATCGTGTACATTAAGCTGGCTATATTATATATTATGTTTTTGTTTATATACGTATGCACGCGTTTGGCTTCTATATTACGCGGTCTCGCCAAAGAGATTATGCGTAATTTTATGCGCCGAGCTGGAATCGAAAGGTGTCGAAGGAATCGCTAAGACGATCAAAGAAGAAAATGAGAAAAAAAATTCGATGCCGCGTATCCCTTTTATAATAAAAATATAATGCTGCAGTCGCGCGAGTGTCGATACGAATGACTGCGTGGACCTTTGGGTAAAAATCACTCGGATAAGAAACGTACACATGTATCGCTCCATGCATATATAGCCGCGTATAACGATGAAATATTCAAGCCTCGGGTGTATTCGATATTATGAAAGTTTTTTAATCGACCTATAAAAATAAATTATCCGCTCGCAGCTCGATACGAGAGGAGTATATAGCCAAAGAAGAAGAAAAAAAGCACACGCACGACGGGCTCGAGTAGTCTCACCGAGAAGCTCGCAAAAATAGACACAAGACGGAGTTAAATCGAGCCGATTATGAATGTAAAGCTTGTCTCCTGCGTGTATAATAGGTTCCTTTCGTTCGGTGAGCGCGACACGATCGCAATATAACGTGTATGTGCCGCTGCTGCTGCTTCTGCTTCGTAGGAAATTAGCATAAATATTAAAATCTCAACTCTCTCTCTCTCACTTGAGCTTGAGCTCTTCGAATGAGAAAATTATAATATAGAGAATTACGCGTCGAGTATATTACCGCTTTAAAGGTTTAGCGTGCCGAGCGTTTATAATTAACATTGGAAAATTAGTCGGTGTATATACGAATAAGGCGAAAGATGTTCCTTGTCGCGCGATCGATATCGCATATGCGCAGGATAATAATGCATATATGGCTGTTTGTAAAGAAATCGTTAATAAATCTGTCCTATATAACGCCTATATACGTATGCTGCGCGCACTAAGTCACTCAGCGTGGCGATGCATCATCGCGTATATTATATATTCAAGCGCGCGCCGGCCCGACTGGCAAAAGTGCACAATCCTTTCGCTACCAAGTCCCGAGCATTATCGTCACTTATATATACCGCCCCATTATGGATACAGTATATGTATACGTATATATCTGTATAAACTTGCAGCACTTAACGCTCCCTTTTCGAGCTCTCGAGTTGTGTGCTCGCATCTATACACACATACAATCCACT